ATTATTTATATATTTATATTAATTATTTATATATTTATATTTATATTTATATAAATATTCATTAATTACTTTTAACAAATCATTATATAATTTTTAAGCTTAAATTTTAGAGTACACTATGTAATTTTATAATACTTTATTAAATTTTTCTAAAATAGATTGTTTTTTTTTCTTTAAATTTAAATCTGCATTTTATTGATTTTATTATATACTGTCTTCTATTAAAAATCGTGCAAAAAATAAAGAATTATTTTATGTTAATAAAAATGGTTTTCTATTTAATATTATAGTTAATTATATAGAATTAAATAAATTTTTATAAAAAAATATATATATATATATATATAATATATAATTTTATATATTTTAATATTTATTTATATATATATTTTTTTTTTTTATATATTTTTATTTAATTATATATATAATTAAATTTATTTATATATTTACTCAATAAATAAATTTACTAATTCTTTTAATTTTATTTCTTCTTTCATGTTCTTTTATATTAATTAAATTATTTCTTATAAAGAAATTCCCTATGCTCTTAATCTATATTAGAGATTTTAAACTTTTTTTTTTTTTTTTTAAATAAATAAATTAATTATTAATATATTTTCTAATTTACCGATAAAATCTATTTGTTAATTATTGTTTTATTAATAAACTCCATCATTTTAACTTTTTATTTTTAACCTATATAATATTTATTATATTTATTACTTTTCATTAATTTTATTAAATTTATATATACTTTCGTTTGATTTATACTATTTAACTTTTTAAATTTCTAATTTAAGTACCTCTACATTTTCTTCTAATTATCTTATTTTATCATCTTTACTTTCGATTTGTTTTTTTAAGAATTTTAATTCACAATTAAAGTTACTTAAATTATTATTAAAAAAAATAAAAAAAATTTTATACTCATTCGGTTTAGCTGAAGAAGGTCTAATTTTTTAATTTTTATTAATTGAATAACTTTTGATTTATATTTCTTATTTAATATTATTAGGAGAAGTATCATTTTTTAATTTCGCAATTTAATTTTTTAATTCATTATTATCTCTATCTCTATCTTTTATACTTTTTCTTAATGTTTATATTTGAATTTTCGTTTTATTATCTAAATCAATATAATTTTACTAAAATAATAATAATAATAAAATAACTGCATATATTATATATACATTTAAAAAAAGTTTTAATTTTCTAAACTTTTTATCTATTAAGACATTTATTCATTATCATATTATAATTATTGTATTAAATTATTATTATCAGCTAAATTTTATTATATAATATTAAAATCATTTTCTTTTCTATATCTATATTAAATAAGTATATATATAAAAAAAATACATCAAAACTTCTATTTTTTCTTATAAGGATTATTATAAAAGTTATTTTATTCTCTCAATTTCTTCACAGTAAACTTTCTTTTCACATTCTAATTCTTATATTTTAGTATATTTTACTTATTTTTTAATTCTAGATATTTCCTCATCTTTTTAAATTACTTAAGTTCTTAATTCATTAATACATTTTTTAAGATTATCTACTATAGAACTAGATCTTTAAAATAAATAAAATATTATCTAACAATCTATTTAAAAATAAATATACTTAATTTAATTCATTTATGCAATTTTCTAATTTAATTCTTTTGTATTAAATTCTTATCTTCTTTGTGCAGAAGAAGTTCTTATATTTTTTCTATTTTTTATTTTTTTAAACATAACAATTAAAAATTACTTTGGAATGTAATTTTTTAAAGGAGCGAATATTTAATTATAATTAGTTTCATAATTATTTGGATAAAATTGCTGATTGTAATTATTTTAATCTTTATTAATATTTTAATCTATATAATTATTATTTAATTATTATTTTAATCTTCCCATTAATTATTTTGGTTAAGACTTAGAATTATTTACATTATTATATTCCTATATAATATTAAGTTAACTATATATATATTTTAAAATATTTTCCTTTTTTTACATATATAATTTCTGTACCATCATAAGCTCTTCTCATATTTTTTTTTTTTTTAATTTTTTTTTTTTTTTAAATATTAAAAAATTGTTTTATTATTTATAAAAAAAAAAAAAAAAAAAAAAACATTTAATTATATCCAAAAAAAAATAATACAAATAAAAAAAATCTTCATTTTTATAAATAAACAGTTGTAAAAATAATTGTAGTTAATCCAATAATAACCAAAGCTATAAAAGCATCATACCAAGGCAAAGAGTATAAATCCCAAAAGCTTTCTTTTTAATCTTCATAAGAATTATCAGATGTACTCGAATACTCACCCATAGGATCATAAAAAATATCTATTTTAGCAATTTATTAGATTTTAGGATGTTTAATAACAATAGTTTTATTGAATTTATCATTTTTATCATCTATAACGACATTAATTTCATAAAGATTTTCATTTTATTTCTTTTAAAATAAAATAAAAAGGATAAATAAATATTTTTTTTTTTTTTTTTTTTACAAATTATTAAGATCTTATTATATTCTTAGAACTATATCCTTAAAGCGATACATCAGGTAAAATATTAGTTTAAATAATAATATTTTTATCAAAATAGTTTCTATTAAGTTAAATTTTTTTTTCAGGTATAATAACACCCCAATATAAATTAACAAACTTGAATTCCTAAAAAAACTAAAAATTACTATTTTCGCTTCTACTTTACACTTTAACAATTAAATTCAACTAACTTGGCATATATTAATTCGGATACAAGCTCGTATACTCATGTAATTTAACTAAACACTCAATATGATCGTCGTGTACTACAGTACTTACCAAAAACCATTTTTTATCAGTTTTTTTTTCTATATTACATGTAAAAATAAGATTATTATTAATTCCATTTAAATCTTTGTAATTATTCAAAGCTTCCTTATTCCCATTTCTGTCCTTAAAATACGCTTAGAAGATAACTCTATATTCCTCCTTATAATTAGGGTCATTTTTCCAATTTGTGAGTACTAAATTTTTTGAGTTGCATACAATTTCTCCTATTTATCTCACATATACCTTCGATTTGTAAAAAATTCCATCATTATATTCTATAATAGTCTCCCCTTGTTAAATAGCTTTCGCAATTCCTGAAAAAGGATCAATTTGGGCCACGTTTTCATTAATACAAGACCATTTTCCTGCCACTTAATTACTTCCCTTATTATTTTAAGAAACGGCAAACTAAACCCATCCTCCAATATGTACATTAACAGGTGACGCTGGTGTAATAATTGAATCCACCGATACTAGAAAAGTATCATATATATGTGGATTATTTTCAAGGAAGACTGTACATATAGACACTCCTCTAGACACAGCTCTTATTTATAACAGACTATTTTCTTATATAACAGCTGACAAGACTTTAGAATTACTTACTTTTACATTTAATTTTATATTCTCGAGTTAAGTAGGGAAAGATCTACCTAAAAAATCTTACATTCTTATAGTATGTTGCGATTCTCCTTCGATTTGCATTTATGAGACTAAATGAGAGTTTTCCACTATGAGAGAATATATACTCACTACATGTACATGAATACTCATTACGTCTTATTGAATTTACTTATTCTAAACTTTCACATGACCAGAAATTCCCTTTTTATCGCCAGTTAAAATATATCCATTTCCATCCACTTTTATTTATTCATTACTCGAAGACTCAAATGTATATCTCTGGATATTTTACAAGGGCAAAAAATATCCACTTTTAGGTGGTATTAAAAGAAAAGAAGGCTTTCTATCTGCCAATAGTACATAAGTAGGCAAAGGCACCAAAGCAGGTGAAATAACATCAACTTTAGCAACTGTTTTGACGTAGTTTTTATGATTATTTCCTTATGTAAAGTTAATAATTAGTTCTATTTCGGAAACTCCTACATCAATCGCAGTAGCATTTACAGCATAAAAGCTTGGTGAATTTCCAATGACAGTGTTTTAACTAGGCTAGCTTATTTTCAAGACTCCATCTACTTTTGATTACCATTAAATATTTAAAGCACACAAACCAATACTCATTTATTATCCTTTAATGAAAACTAAAAATAAAATAAAAAATATAAATATAGAAAATAAATAAAAAATACTCTAAGCAATAAGTCTAACAGTAGTTCCTAAATGTAAACTTCTATCATTCATCCCATAAATTTTAGCATCATCAATATCTTCTACTTAAACAGGAACTATAGTTGAGCTCAAAAGCATTTATTCATTCTAAATTTAAATCGAAAATTCCAAATCTACTTTACCTTTAGCACCTGCAAGTGCCTAAACATCATATAATTTTGAATCTATTTATTATAAACTGATAACTTTTTGATTTTCATTTAAAAATCTTGTAAAGAATTTCACTCTAGTAGAATCTGAGGGTCCTCCAATTAATTATAAAGAAGTCTAACAAAGCTAATGTAATACTAATTTAGGAGGATAAGCTTCTAAACTAGGGAAAACTTCCAGATCTACTGAATTACTTTTCAAACTAAATAATTTATTTTCCTATGGATACATAAAATTATTTGGATTATTATGTTTTAAACTAGCCACGAGTCTATAATTTCCTTTTTTCTTCCCCATAATACTAAATATTTAAACTTCTCCATTTTCAGTTTTCCCTTTACGAATTTGAAGTGTTTATTCTTCATCAGAAGTATCACTTTCGAGATAAATATCCATTATTTGTATTTAATTTTCGGAATATTTCTTCCCTTAATCATTTAAAACTTCTACAAAAGCCTCCGTACTTCCTCCTATGGGTATAATATCTTACAATAACCTCAAAATAACTTATTAAGGTTCTCTCACTTGTATATTACACTCTATTTCTTCACTTCCTATTTATTATTAATCTTTTACAACAAAACTGCTTGCTCCATTTCTCAAAGGTTGAATTTATAAATTCCTTTATTTTTATTCGAAAACCACAACTTCTGTACTATTATTAGAGACTGAAAATACTCCTGAACCATGAACTAAATTTACATTATATTTATTGTAAATATTGTTATAAAGGTTTAATTATTAAGGAATGCACTCCACATTTTTTGCTATATTTAAAATAATCTCATCATTTACATTAAAAGGAGCATGTTAATCTAAACTACCTTCCAATTATGTATTAATAGCCTTCATTTAAATACTGTTTATCCTTCCAGTACATTCCCTGAGGTCCAATCTGCGACTTTCATCGCTTTTAGTAATTTCTTAAGAGAAATTCTCACATTTTTCCTTGTTTTCTGATAAAGAGAGTTCCGTAATATCCCCACAAGCCATCGTACTTAAACTCCATTCGATTTTCAAACTTGAGAATACATAAAAAGGTAAATTTCTGGAATCAAAGACATTAATATGGAAGAAATGCTTCATATTTTACCTCAAATAATAATTCTAAAACTTTGATGTTTTCGCATTTTCCCACTCATTAAATTTGCCTTCTATAAGGTCTTATAATGGATAAATATACAATGAATGTGGCACATTACACCATATTCTTAAATTATTTTCCATTTCAAGTGGTCTAGGTAGTTTTTCATCTGCCTAATTCTACACAAAAATTCTCGAAATGAACATATTTTCTTAACTTTTTCTACAAAAACCGCACTAGAGTGTATAAAATCTAGTCACATTCCCCTAAGTGGTAAAACTAGGAATATTATGTTTTAATTAATCACAATCAGAGTTTCCTTAAATGTTTTCAATTTAAGTTCTGATGTTGATTTTCCTTTAATTCTCCCATTAAGATGGTCCATAATTAAAAGTCCAATTATATTTTGAGTTCATAGAAATAACTACTTCATCTTTTTTGAAAAAAGAGTAGTAATTCTATTCTATTACACTCTCAAATGGCTTAAAAACCTTCACACTAACATTTTATTCTTCCATTTATTAATATTCTCCTTCCCAAATTTGCAATTTTCCTGTATGTTCTCCTGTTTATTCAGCCTTGATTTTAAACTAAGAGCAAATCCCGTAATTATTGTAAGTTTTATGGATTTAATTTATTTCATTTTAAGTTATAAGTCCCAATTTTATGTATTCATCGAGTCCTTAAAACCCTTTAATTTCATATTACTGTAGTATTTTTCTAATATAATCATTCGAGTTTTTGAGAGACTGAATTTCATCTAACATTAGTTCATATGAAAGTTCTAAATTCGGAAAACTGTTAAAAAAGTTATTTTTTGAATATTCATAAAAACTGCAGAACAATTAGAAAATATCTACTTATTATTATTTATTGAATTGAAAAAGGCAGATCCGAAAGTGTTTATTTCTCCATCTTAAATCACTTCCATCATTTATTCCAAAGGCTGTACTTTCCAAATATCCACAATTTATACATTTACTACATCTTTATTGTTCTCGTTATATTTATCACTTACAAAAAGCTAACCAAAACCCGCTTTTTTCACATGAATACGATTCTGAGAACTCTCAAATACATTATTATCTGTACTATCCCATTTATATTCCCCACTACCTCCAATTACATGAAGTTTAAATACTTATTTCTTTAAATTAGGTAAATAAATAGTCTCAGAAGGTTTCAATAATTTCACAGGCATTACAATTTAGACATCAATTTAATTTTTAATTTCCCTTCCTGCTTTTGGATAATATGCATTTGATTTATCTAAAGGGTTTGTTACTTTTATTAAATTTGAGCTTATTTCTGTTAATGGAACTAATTGAACTGGTTTTATTTTAAATTCATTAAAATTTCTCTTTTCTAAAATTTTGAATTTTAATTGATCTAATTTTGTATCAATTTCGACATTTTTTGTTAATTTTATTGGATTTCTATTATTATCATAAATAACAATTTTCATATAATATTCTCTGTCTTTTACTAAATTAATTTTATTCCTAAATTTTTCAGGGACGAATTCTTTATCATTTCTTTCCCAAACATCATTATCTGTAAACTCCTTTATTAATATTTCTAATAAAAAAGGTTCCACGACAGTTACTGTAGATGTGACTTAATAATTTACCTCTTTTTTAGGTTTCACTGTTATTTTTGTAGCCTAATATAATTTAGTAAGTGTATATAATTCTCCTTTTTAACTAACTTTTCCTACTTATAAATCATCTATTTTCCATTCATATTTTTCTTAAGAAAGATCAATAATATTATCAACTTTTATTTTTATTTAATTTTTTTTGTTTAAAAAAAAAGGAAATTACCTTTTGATTTTTTCGAATAAATTAATTAATATTGTAAATGAGTATAAGGTAATAAATACAAATTATTGCTTGGGAAAATATCGAATTTATCGATTGCCTAAAGGCTTATATTTTAAGACATTAAAATGTATTCTTTTTCTTTTAATTTCACATTAATTTATGCTTATCCAGTCTAAATAGCCTTAATAACAATTAAATCTGATTAAAAATGCGATTCTTCAATATTTTTTCTTAATTAAGTAGTTTAAATTTTCGATTCCTTTTTTTTTTTTTAAAAAAAAAAAAATTAAATTAATTTTTATTTTTTCATAAAAAAAAATATACTTTAAAAGTTATAAATTCGAATATTTTCTCATCTTAAATAATATTCCATTCAAAATGCAATCCTTCGAGTGAAGAAAATGAGTTTCCTTCAATATCATATCCAATAATTTCCAAAACAGACAAATCTTAAACATTTACGGTTCTTAATTTTGTCAAAATTTCTATTTTGTGAACTTTCGCTATTTTCGATTCTACTTTAATAACATCTTCTGTATCTTTTTTTTTATATATATATATATATATATATAAAATAAACATAAAAATAATAATAATATTTACTCTTATCAGTAACTTCTATCCATATTATATTGTCAAAAGGCTCTACAGTATTAAGCTTAACAACAGCTTTTGATTAACAATTAGGATTTTCTTGGTCATTTATTCCATATACTACTAGTGCTTTTGGATTAGAAGACTTCCATTTGTAGCAACCGTTAATTGCCTCTAAATTATATTGAGGAGCTCTTTATTCGAGATCTTGGAAGATTTAAGGCAATAAAACATTGAGTTTATTTACTTTTTTATGATTGTCATGTATTCTATTGCTTTAAGAAATTACAGACAAAATTAATATTTTAATAATGAAAAATAGTTTTATTATATATATCATTTTTTTTATATTTTATTTATATATTATTTTAAAAGGATTTTATAATATATATGTATATAAAAAACAAAAAAATTAAATATTTTTATTTAGCGAAAAAAAAAAAAAAAAAAAAATATCTTAAATTTATAGTCAAAAAAAAGTTAAAAATTAAAATAATTTTATATTTATTTATATGTTTTTTTTACTTTTTTATTTCATTTTTTTTTAAAAAAAATTATAATAATTTTTGGAGGTATTTTAATTATATTTTTTTAAATAATGTAAAACACATTTTTTAATTACTATATAAATTTAAAAATTATATCTAATTAATTAATAAAACAAAAAATAGTTTTTTATTATTTAATAAAAATCAATTCAATGCAAATAATAAATATATATAGAAGAAAGAAAAAATGAATTTATATATTTTTTTATTTCTAGTTATATAAAATAAATTAAAATTTAGTAAAAAACATACAAATTTTTATTTTAGAAAATTTATCCCTATTATTACTTAATATATATATTAAAAAAAATCAATTAAATTTAAATATATTTACATTCCTTTTTTAGCATTTTTTTAATATAATTTTTAATAAAAATATAATTTTAAAGCAAAAAAAAGATTATATAATTGTTTTTTAATTATAGATATATATTTTTAAATCAATTATATATATAATTTATATTTACTATATATATATATATATATATATATATATATTTTATTTAATATAAGTTTTCCTATAAAAATAAATCAAATGATAAAATTAAATAAATTTATAAAAGTGATTTAAAGATTTTTCAAATAAAAATAAAAAATTAAAATAAAAACTTTAATATTTAATTATAATAAAATAAGAAAAAATAATAAAATGTATATATATATATATATATAAATATATATATATATATATATATTTATATTTATATATATATATATATAAACGTCCGAAATCAAACATTAATAAAGACAAAAATAGTTTTATTGTATTTTAATTTTAAATTTTTTATTTATTTATAGTTTTTAAAATAATATATTGATTCTTAAAATATTTATTTATCAAATAATTTTTTTTATTATTTGCTATTTATATATGACGTAAAATTTATATTATTTGACTTATATTAATTAGTTATTTAATTTATTTAAATTTCTTTAGTAATATGTAAAAATACATAAATAATATAAAATTATATAAATTAAATTTTTTTCAATAAATTTTAGAAAGTCTTTTATAAATATTAATGAATTTAAATATTTTTAGAATATGTTTAAATAATATCTTTTTATAATTTAAAATTATATAATTATAATAAATATTGCTATTATTTTATTTTCCTCTATATTGAATATTTATTTACTTTTAATTTTAATTAATTTATTATTTTTAAATTTTATTAAAATTAAAAATATAATTATAGTTTAATATCTTTTCTATCAAAATTAATATTAATTATAATACAAGAAAATGAAATGTTAAAAATAAAAATTATATTAATTTTAAATACATATATATATATTTAAATTAAATTAAAATAAAATATTTTTTACTTTAAATGATATATTTTTTTGTATATTCATGAAAACAACTGGATAATAAATAACCTTTTTTTTTGATTATATATTAGAAAAAAAAATATATAAATAAGTTATAAAATATTAAAAATTTTGTATTAAAATATAAATAAATAATATTACAAATATTTAATCTTTTTAAAAAATAATATATATTTAATCAAAAACATAAATAAATACTAAGAAACATTTATCCCATTCCACCCTAAAGTTAAAATCGATTTTTTTATAGAGATCTCCACTAAAAATGAAAATAGATGTGCAAAGAGTAATAAAGAATCTAACAAATTTGTTACCTATATTTATTTCATATATAAAAATGCTTAAAATATTTATAACATCAAAGATCAAAAGTATTTATTAAAAACGTATAATATAAAGTATTATAATTATTTTATTTTTTTTAATTAATACTATATAATTTTAAATATATTCCATAAATATAAAAATATTTTATTTTAAACAAATTAAATATATATATAAAAAAATAAATATTATATTATAAATAATATATTTTTATTTATAATTTTATGTTTTTAATATATTTTATATTTAAAATAATAATTTCAAATTATTTAAGAAAAAATCAACTATTTAAAGAGTTGATACTCTATTTCAAAAAATATATTTTGAATTTTAAAACTGTAAACGGATTAAAATTTAAAAATAAACTTTATATTTTTAAATTTTATAATAAATAGAATATAATTGAAATTATATAATTAAAAAAGTAGGATAAAAATAATGGTAAAAGAAATAATTATTTAAACGTAATATTTAATTTAAAAAATACATAAAACCTATATATTGATAATTAACATGTCGGCGCATTTATAAATGCTCAAAATAGGTTTTTTTTCATTTCCAGTATTCTAATATGAGCCGTAACAAATCAAAATTTAATTATATAGAAATATTAATTATTTACTAATAAAATATAAGAAATATATATTTATTTGTATACTAAATTATATGTAAATAAGGCAAAATTATTTATATTTTATTTGATTAAACCTTCCTTCCTTCCTTCCTTCTTTTTTTTTTTTAATCATTTCTCTTATTAATAATTTTTTTGTTTTTTTAATTAATAATATTATACTTTTCTTTTATGATTCTTTGTATCTTATCTTTTATTGTTATTAATTAAGTTATTTCATTTCTTTATAATTACCAAAAAAATATTCATTTTTTTATTCTAAATCTTTTACTTATTTTTATCTAATGTTTTTTGTATAATTTGAATTAGACTATATTTTTCGTTGTTATCTCGTATTTTTAATTTAAACAAATATAATTTAAAAGAATGTTGTTTTAATTTTTGCTTTTAAAGTTTATTATTATTTTAATTTTGAGTATTTTTTATCTATATGTTTACCACATCTAATTAATTGAATTTAAACAATTAAATCATTTATTAGCTTATTCATTTTTTTTGTGCAAGATTTATTGTGTTTTATAATGTTTTTGTTGCATTTTATGGCTATTTCTCTTAAATTCAAAAAAAATATTTTTATTTTACTTTTTCAATAGGTATTTTAAGTCTTTTTTTAATAGTTAATTATATAATTTGTTAAATAAATTTAATGTTTTTTAGCTTTTTTTATCAAAAAAAGACATTTTCTACTAAACCATATGTATATTGTGATTTTATAAATATCTACCACATTAAATGTATATTGACTATAATTTTAAATTCTTTATATTAATTTACAGTATTTTTGGCATTTTTTGTGTGTTCTTTTCTAACGATTATCTTTTATTATTATTCCTAAATATCAAAATTCATTGACAATATAATAAGTTACCTATTCTTAAAATACCTTTAATAAATTATATTAATTTTGTATTTTTGCTTTAATGTATAATCATTATTTTGCATTTATATTTGGTTAACCTTTCAGTCCATATTTTGAGCTTATTAATTTAAAAGTCTTATCTATTTTTTTAGGTCGTTATTTTTATATATTAATTCATGAGTTTAATAATTATATCTTCAGTAAAAGCCATTATATATATATATTTAACATGTTATATGGTTTAAATTAATTTCAGTTAAAATTAATTAAAGTCCATAAATAAAAATAATTAGTGACAAAGCTGATCCTTAGATGCGGCCTTAACCTATTTTAAATTCCATTAATTTTTATATTATAATAAAGCTATTTTAATAAATTTATTCATTCTTAATTATAAACCTTAATTTTGGTAGTAATTATTCAAATAATTATTTTTATTTTAGAGGAATCGAATGCAGATTTCGTAATTAGAAAATAGTAATATTGGAATTTAACCATTTTTTATTTTCATTTTTTTAGTATATATTTGGATTGTTTAATAAGTCTAATAATATTAATAATCATAGTTGATGTATTATTTATAAACCCTTTTTATGTGGTTTTTATTTACTTTATAATCCATTATATTTATGGTTTTTTTATATACTAAAGTATTGATGTGTTTTAGTTAAAATGTTTTTAATTATTATTTATTTTATATATATATATATATTATATATTATATATTATATATTATTAATTGATTTTATATTCTTTTTTAATATTTTTTTTATATTTTAATAGAGCTTTTATCCATACATCTTCATTTAAAAGAGATTTAACAGCAGTAGCTATAAATTCTACATATAAAAATTTTTTTTGCTCAAAATTATTATTAATATATATTATTTCCGTTGAAAAATATTTATTATGATTAAATTAAATATGACTATTATTCTTAACTTAACATAACAATACTAATAAATATTACTTTTAAACCTAAAATTAAAAGAAAAAATATACTATTTTTTTATATTATATTTAGTTATTTAAATTTTATTTGTACATTTATAATTATTTTACTAATATTTTAATTTTTTTTATAATAATAAATATATTATTATAAATTATAAACTCTTTCTATTGTTAAATTAAATAAATATATTTCTAATTTTTTTATATATTAAATTGAATTAATTAACTTCTATTAAATATTTTTATAAATAAGATTTTAGCTTTCTTTTAATTTTTTTTTTTTTACAATATTAAATATTAACTATGGATATATTTTTAAAATTAAACTATAAATAGATTATTAAAATTAAATATTATTTTTTAATCTAAAATGTATTTTTAAATTAAATATTTATTTAAACAAAAATATAACAAAAATTCAAAAATTAAAATAATTAAAATTGTTTTCTAAACTAATCTAATATTTAGATATTTTTTGGAATCTAAACTATTTTTGATTATCTCTATATGAATTTATATAATAATAATATAAGTATAGATATCAATATACATTTGTACTAATTAATAATATTATATTTTTTGGCGCCCTTAATTTGAATATTATTGAACTAAGAAACTTTTTCTTTATAATAAGCTTTAAAATGAACTAATAAGCTAAATTTTAATTACAAGCAAATTTATAGATATTGTTTTTCTTAATTAAAATATTTGTTTAGCTTTATTTAAAATTTTTTGCAAAAGAAATTTTTTTTTCATTAAATATAAAAGTAAATAAATGAAGTTTAATTTATTTTTCGTAAACCTTTATTTTAAATAAAAGAAAACATATAAAAACCTGTATTTTTTTATAATAAAATAAAAAAGCTTCTAAAAAAATTGTTATAAATAGCGATAAATATTAAAATTAATAAATTAAAATAATTACTTCTATAAATAAATATTTAGTTTAATAATTTAATTATGTGAATTTCAATATTAAATATAGTATTAATTTAAATGTATGTCCAAAATAAGTATAATAATATTTACTTTAAATTAAAATATTAATATTAATAGATGATAATGATTTTAATATAAAATATACACTATAATTAATTTTATAAAAGTATCGTTTCTATATATATTATACTAAAAAATGGAATATTAAGTATTAAAAATAATTTATTAATAATAAATTATTCAATTCAGATTGTTTATAAAGTATATATTTGATAAATATTGAATTGACTATTAAAAAATGGTTATAAAACTACAAAAAAAGATATTCTTAAAATGTTTTAAAAAAATAATCATATATAAATAGATAATATGTATTTTACATAAATAAAAATGAATATAAAAATATACCTTTTATAATATATTGTTTTTATATATATAATATTTATTTATTTTTATTAAAATTATGAGTTTTTTTATATATATATAAAATAATTAAAATTAATATTTTTAAATATAAATTTATATAATACCAAAAGATACAAAATATTTAAAGTAAAAATAAAAAAATAAATGTCATTTGAATAAGAATTACTTAAATTTTCACAAGAACTACATTAAAAAATGTAAACCACCGAATAAATAGTTTTCCAAAACTTATCAACTATTGAATAAGAATGTATGAATTAAAGTAGAGATGATGTAGATAGATTTGTAAATTGTATGAATTAAGCTACTGAAAAAGTATAAAACGAAGAAAAAAAATTCGAATTTAGAATGGCTTTTCTTTAAAACGAAACTTTTAATTGCTTTAAAAATGCTGAATAATAAAAATAATATGAACCTTGTAAAGAAAATGCCAAATAAAATTTAGATAAATATTTGAATGAATTTATTAATTAAATTAAAAAATGAAAGATATATATATATATATAATATATTACCTTTTCATTTTCTTAATCAAGATTTATTAAATGTTCTTTAAAAAAAAATAAAAAAAATTGAAGTTTCATTTTATATATTTAAATTTTTGTGTAAGTATGTATGCTTTGAATTATAACAAAATTTTAATAGTATTTTTTTTATATTTAAAACAACACATAATATTTCTCCATATAAATAATATTCCTATTTATATAAAAAATCATTTTTTTAATATAAAATTATATATAAATAACTAAATAAAAAAAATATTAAAATTTTAATTGAACAAAAAGTCTATATATTTATAATTAAAATTTATAAATATACTTACTTTTTAATACATTTTCAAAAAACAAAAAACAAAATGATAAAAAAGTAAATATATTCTTATTATTATAATATAAAGGGAATTTAAATTAAATATTATTAATATTTATATATAAAAATTAAATTTTTAATATTTTTTCTAGTTTTCAATCCTTTTTTTGTTAAGATATAGATCTTGTATAACTTTTACTATTTTCTTAATTGTAATATTAGTTTTTATCAGATAATGAATTAGAATTATTTCTATTTCTAGAGCTTTTTCTAGAATATTTAGATCTACTTCTTGATGATTAGTATTTTCTAAAAACAAAAAAAATATATATATATAAAAAAATATCAATATATATAAGATATAACCTCTAATGTTAATTTCTATCATCATCAATATATTGATATTTATTATTATTATTTCTATATCTAAAAAAAAATATATATATATATAAGATTAAATATACTTTTATTTATAAATAATTACCTATTATATTAATAATTTCCATTATTTCTTTCTCTTTAAAAATTATTTTCATTTTTAGGGGTTAAATTTTAATATCCTCCGTTTCTATTATTATCATATTTTTAATAATTAAAATTTCTGTTTTAATCTCTTTCTCTATCTTTATATCTTTCTATTTCTCTTTATTTTTATCTTTCTCTTTCCCTTTATCTTTATCTTTCCCTTTATCTTTCTCTTTCTATTTCTCTATCTCTTTCCCTTTCTCTTTCTCTTTCTCTTTCTCTTTCCCTTTCTCTTTCTCTTTCTCTTTCCCTTTCCCTTTCCCTTTCTCTTTCTCTTTCTCTATCTCCGCTTCTATCTAATTATCTATCACCACCTCTATCTCTATCTTTTCTATTAATAAAAAGGTTTATAAAAATGGTAATATTAAAAAAAAAAATACTCTCTATTTTCATAATAATTTTATCTTCCATAAGATTATTAATAATAATAATCATTATTATAACTAATTATTTTATATTAGAAATAAAAATTATATTAGATAATAAATGTAAAAAAATGAATAAAAATATATAAAAATAAAATAAATAATAAAATTAATTAGAAATGTTTATTATAATAATAAATAACTTAAATATATATTTATAAATGTAAATATTAATAAATATATATATATATATATATATATATATATATAAATATATATTTACTCATCTCTTTTGTTTTTCTAATCATTATAATTATATTAATTTTATTAATTATTTCTAGATTATTGTTTTTACATATTCAAATTATTCGCTGTTTCTTAATTTTTTTAATTTAACCACTAATATTTCGGATTTAATATTTCAATAGTTATTTTTTATCCATCGATTTATGAATTATGCATACTACAATAAGCATTTTCCATTCCTTTCCAATCTTCAAACTTTACATATACAAAATGATCTTTCATGCCGTTATCTGGTTTTATTGCTCTTTTTACATCTAAAACTTTACCAAATTAATTAAATATTTCTCTTATATGACCTTCTTCTAAATTTTTAGTGCATTTATTTACTTTAATTGTTCTTTCATCTTTTTCAATTATATTTGAATCACCCATATTTTTTTTAGATTTTATTTTATTTGTACTAAGATTAAATAATATATTTATATAAATTTTTAAATATTTTCCTTTTTTAAAAATTAAAAAATATAATTAATTTTTACATTCTTAATTCTTTATCTTTTAAATACATAGTTTTTATTAAAATACATAATAATATTTAAATGAAGATAAGACAGATAATAAATATAACTACATAAATTTTAAAGTACTTAATTTTTAAAAATAAATAAATAAAAATAGCTTATTAATTTTTAAATAAACAATAATTTAAATATTCAATCATCTTCTTTTAACTTTTCTCTTCTAACTTCAACTCTTATAATAGTTTTTTCATCCCCTAAAAGAATATCTTTATAAACAAAAACTTTACCAATAAGTAAAATCTTAAAAATAAAAATATATAAAAACTAAAATTTAAAATATAATATTAAATATTTACAAAAAAATAAAATAAAAAAATATATAATATATTTACTTAATATATTGCGCCCTTAATGACACCACAAATAATATTGTTATATTATAATCCATTTAATTATTCTGGGATTTCTACAAACTCGGCGAGTGGTTTTGTATTCATAACCATATTAAACATAATATCTTTTCCTTCGGTTCTAAAATCTTCAATATCAGCCCTTATTCCTGTAAATATTTATAAAGCATCCTTAATTAAATAAATATTTTATTTTTCAAAAAAAATAAACATTTGCAAAACTTCTCGCTATTTCCTTCAAATCTTAATTTGCTTTTCCATTTTATTTTAAAGTAAATTCGTCTGCTAATCTTTAACCTATTTGAAATCCTCTTTAAATAAATATTAAAAATTAAATTAAGAACAAAAAATATACAAATTTTCTAATTATTTATTTGCATCATTTATATTATTAGAATCCTTTACAATTTAACTAACTATCGCACCATAAGTTATTTATAATAAATCTAAACTCTTAAAAAATTAAATAAAGATAAAAAGAAAAGAAAAAAAATACTATGCTTTTATTTGATTTATTTTAATTGTTTTATTTCATTTTTTAAAAAATTAGTAAAAATAAATAAATTAATTGAAATAAATGATATATAATAAAATAAATATTAAAATATATATATATATATATATATATATATATTATTATATATATATATTTATTATTTATTCATATAATTATTTTATATAATATTTATTCATATTTAATTTTTTTTTTATTATATATATATATTTTTTTTTTAATTATTTTTTTCATTATATTTATATTTATATATTTTTTTAATTAAAATATTCTTCCTTTCTTTTTTATTTTTCAATATGTTTAATTTTTTGTTTATGTTTTCTACTAGTCATATGAGCCTATAAATTTTATTCTCCATTTAGTTCTAATTTACATAATTCACAGTAATGTTTTTTCCATAAATCTAAATCTTTATTAAAATGATTTCTTCTTATATTCTCAATTTCTTTTTCATTTACTAAATATTTTTTTAAATATTTATCTTAAGCTGAAAAATCTTCTACATTTAAATTACTTTTAAAATAGTTTTCTATTATTTAACATGCAGGATTTATGACTTTTTTATTATAATTTTCTGTATCGAAATCATCAAATTCAAATACACATAGTCTTTTTTTTATTTCTTCACTATTAGAATTTATAATAATTCTATGTTTTATCCATCTTAATTATCTTTTTGTATATTAAATAGTATGTGTAGCCAATACATCTTAACATTACTATAAGATTTTTTTTCCTTCTGTACTATCTATAATTTCATTTATAATAATTATTTTTTCTTAATCAGTATATTCTTTATCTTTTTCAATTCTTTACTTATACAATAAATAAAATGAAAAGAATTCTTTATATCCTATAGATTATAGAATTCCTTTTAAAAAAATTTCATTATTTTCGTCCACACCCTATTCATTAGGAATTAAAATTTCGAAAATCTTCACAGCCTCCAAAATCCCTTACTAGCTTACCATTTCCTTTATCCTCTTATGAATTTATTACTTCAACTTGACTTCATCACTACATCTGGGCCAAAAAATAAGACAATTTTTGTCTCTTAAAGACACATCTTCATGATTCTCCATTTTCATAGAAGGTGCTTCTTATGTACAAAGGGCTTATATTAAATAATTTATTGTTCTCCTTTCATCATTGTGATGTAGTCTATTTGCTAAAAGAGGATCCAGTTTTTTTAATTCTTCTATTCTTTAATTTTAACACATATTTAACACTTTTTCTTTTATTTCTATATATTATGGTTCTTCTTTATGGCCTTAAAGTTCTTAATCAAAATTTGATTTTTCTATTTTTTAGTTAAATAAAAGTGTCTCTATGTAATAATTTGTCCCTCCTACTATAATTGGAAATTAATTCTTATTTTATATATTATTAAATGCTTGCTTAGCCATATGGTAATAATCATTTCGATTGAAATCTTTTACTTTTAAATCAAAAATATCTATCATATGATGCTTAACTTATTTTTATTCTTCCTATGTTGCTTTTGCTGTTAATATATCAGCTCCTTTATATATTTGCATTGAGTCCGCTGATATTATTTCGCCTTTAAACTTTTCTCCTATACTTAGCGAAAGTTTTGTCTTTCCAGTTGCTGTTGTGCCTATTATATATAAAGAAAAATCTAAGAAATTTTTATCCATAAATTTTTTTAAATACATAAATTATTAAAATAATTTTTTTTTTATAAATTTTATTTATATATATATGTTATTATTATGTTGAGATTCATATATTTTTATTTTTAATATTTTCAATTTTAATTTATTAAAATAAAAATATTTTCCTTATCAGCTTTTTAATAATTTTTTGTTTAATAATAATAATATTTTTTTTTATTATAATTATTATCTTTTAATTTTTTTAAGTTTAAAGATTAAAAATGATAATCTTTTCAGTATTTATTTTGTTAGGCTTTAAATTTTACATTAAATATAATTTTTATCAAATTATAAATAATTTATTATTAATAATTTTTATATTAAGATTTAAAAAAATATATATATATATAAATATGTATACAAAAATTGAATAAAAAAAAGATTTAAATTGTTAAAATTTTAGTCTTATTCCAATTAAAAAAAAAACAATAATATTTAATATAATATTGATAATTATAAATAATTTATAAATTTATATTAATTTAAATTTAAAAGAAATAAATAAAATATCTATAAAATATGTTTAATATAATATTTATTTTTTTAATAAAAATAAACAATTAATAATTTAAATAAAATATTTTTTTTTATTTAATTTAAATACTTATAAATAAATTCAAAATCTTATTTTTTTTATTAATTTTTATATTAATTAAATATATTTATTGAATATTTTTTTTTTTTTTAAAATAAAACTAATGGAGAATTCCGAAAAAGATTAAAACAATAATTATGAAACAAATCAAGCTTCTTAATAATATCAAAATTAAAATTTCTAGTACGAAATTAAGGAGTATTAGCATACATAATAAAATACACAAGAAAATGACTAATAGTTATAAAACTTTAATGACTAAAATGAAACTAAAAACAAGGTATATTTATTTTTAATTTTTTAAAATTTACATAAATTTTTCTAAAAATAAAGTTATAAGTTGATAATAATAAACAAGTAAAATTACAAGAATCAACTTCACCTATTTCAGCACTAAGAAGAACCACAACAATTGGAAAGAATACAGTAGATTAGCCTAATGTAAACATAATAGATTAAATTTAATAAAATAATTAGCTAAATAATGCATAGGAAGAAATTATGTAACTAAAAGAATAAATAAATACGAAAAATTAACAAAAGAGAATCTCTGTTTTTGGTTTACAAACAGACTTTTAAATTAAAAAAGATGATCCTTAATAATAATTAGATGACCTTATAATGCCTTCGCTGAGTAATTTAGATGATAATGATGAGAAAGAATAATCAAAAAAAATTGAGGAAGAAAAAAAATAAGATGATGATGAGAAAAAACAGGAAGAAGAAGTATAAGATGAAAATGAAAAAAAAGAATAAGAAATTCTTGAAAAGCTAAAGCATACAGTTTAAGAAGAAACATAGGAACATTATTAGTAGATTTAAAAAAGTGATGATAATGATGATAAAGAATAAACAATAAAAAATAAGGAAGAAAAGCAAGAAGATTATGATGAGAAAAGGCAGGAAGAAGAAAATGTAAAAAAAGAATAAAAAATTCATGAACAGCCAAAGTATACAATTTAAAAAGAAACATAAAACTTTATTAATATATTTAAAAAAGTGATGACAAAGATGATGACAAAGAATAATCAAAAAAAAATAAGGAAAATAAAAAAGAAGATGATGATGATGAGAAAAAACAAAAAGAAGAAGAAGAAAATGAACAAAAAGACTAAGAAATTCCTGTAAAACCAAAACATACAGTTTAAGAAAAAATATAGGAACTTTATTAAAATATTTAAAAAAAAAAGTCCATGGTCAAAATGTCTTCTTTTCTGGTATAAAAAGGGGAAGTAAATGGGAATTTAAATTAAGATGAAAATGTTTCTCCAACAAAAGAAGAAGAAAGTGAAAAAAATTCTCAAAAGTCTTCTTTTCTGGTTGAGGAAGTAAATGCGAATATAAATTAAGATAAAAGCATTTCTCCAACATAAGAAGAGAATGAAAAAAATTCTCAAAGGTCTTCTTTTCTGGTATAAAAAGGGGAAGTAAATGTAAATAAAGATTAAAGCGTTTCTCCAAAAAAAGAAGAAAGTGATTAAAAATCTCCTAAAGATGTAAAAAATAAAGAAGAAAATCATTAAAACCTTAATTCTTCACTAAATGATTATTTTTTAGCAGAAACACCTATAAATAATCCTTAATAAGAAATATTGAAAGAATGTCAAGAAGTATAAAATGAAAATAAAAATTAAAGAAAATCATTTTTAGAAAATTAAATATAAGTCTAAAAATAAGAATTAGAGAATTGGAATGATAAAAACAATAAAAATTAATAGAAAATAAAATAATTTTACTAAGAAATATAAAACATAAAAAAAAAATCAAGAAAATCTATTTTCGCTTCCGAATAACAAAAAGCACTTTTTGAATAAAATGAAGAACAAGAAAATTATAAAATTAGTAAATCCCAATTAAAAAGTAACTCTTCAAGTGAAAATAATGAAAAATAAGGAAAATCAAATAAGTAAAAAAAATATTATACATATAATTTATAATTAAAATTAGTACAAAAAGCCTAAAAAGGACAGAAGATTCAAAAATAGAGGCAGAAGTGTAATTAAATCCAATTAAAAACAAAAACCCTTTAAGTCGAAATCAATTATTAGCAAAAAATGAAGAAAAACAATTCTAGTAAAAATTCAAAAGACATCCTCCTTTACCTTTACAATCTAAACAATCTAAAATTCAATCTCTACCATCTAAAGAGCACCTGTAGTAAGAAATAACAAAAGAAGTAAAAATCAAGGAAATGAATAAACGCAAAAGATAATTAGAATATGATTTAATTTAACTAAATAGGGAAATATAACTTCTACGTCACTAAATATAAAAACAACCGGAAATCATACAAAAATAATCTATTTCTTCATTAAAAAATAATAATGGTTCTCATTATAATAATCATAATAAGGAAATTTTACCAATAATAAAGCAAAATAATCAAATAAAAGAAATGATCAAAATATCAGACGATATATAAGCAAAACATGAGGCCAATATGTTTATAAGAAAAATGAATAAAACCCGACAATAAAAAAACTAGAAAAATCTATAAGTCTTTAATAATATTAATGAAGCTATTTTTAAATAATATGAGTTAAGAAAATAAGAAAACGATTAAATTGAGAGAAAAATATAACTTGAAAAATAATAAAAAGTCCTCCATAATATTAGCAAGATTAAAACTAGAAAAGAAGAATAAAACAGACTTTAAGCAGCTTCAGAAAATTTCATAAATTCCCTCAAAAATAATGGACCAGGATACATTTCTAATAAATATATGAAATAAATTGAATAAATTGAATAATAATATAAATATGCACCTTATTAACCTCCTGAAACCGATGAATAAATATTAAATGATGTTTCGAATAGTCTATTAAAATATAATTAAATTGCAGGTTCTTCTTTACCTAGTTTACATAAAAAACCTAATATTAATATACGTAATATACAAAGTAAATCAAGTAAAAAAGAATTTGAAAATTTACCTGATATCTACAAATATTGAAGATAGATTGATTTTGTTGATAACATATTTAATAGAATAAAGAGAAAAAAAGCAAATCATATTAATATTTTTTTAATAAATAAAAAAATTAAAAAAAAAAAAAAAATCAAAAGAAAAAAAATCAAAAAAAAAAAATCAAAATAAAGTTTATTTTTATTTAGAAATATCTTAAACAAATTTAGGATTTGTAAATTATTAATAAATTTTCTCAAATATTTTCACATCATCTTTACTTGTAGAAGGCCTAAAGCTTTAAAAGTATTTTCTGCACAAACTTTTAGTAATAATAAGTTCATTTTACAAAATTTATTCACCTTTTTTCACTTCCATAAGCTGATGTGCAATTTTAATTCTAATTTCCTTAATAAGTGCTACTAAGTCAGCTGAACAAAATCCATTTGAAATTTCCACTAGATCTTCAACATCTTCGACTTTATCTTTTCCATAAATCTGAATAATATCCCTTCTTTCATCTTTATTAGGAAATCCAACATACACATGTCTATCAATTCTCCCAGGTCTTAATAAAGCCGGATCAACAAGATCTGGCCTCGAAGAAGCTGCCAAAATACAAACACCATCTAAATTTTCAACCCCATCTAAATAACAAAGGAACTAGTTAACAACTCTATCAGTAACTCCTGTATTTCCCGCATTTCTTTTAGGCACAATAGCATCAAACTCATCAAAGAACACAATCGAAGGTCTTTTTTAATAAGCTTTTTCGAACAAATCCCTCACTGCCTATTCTGATGCTCCTATATATTTATTTAATATTTCTGGGCCTTTAACACTGAAAAAATTCATTCCTAATTCGTTACAAGTTGCTTACGCTATATAGGTTTTCCCACAACCAGGAGGGCCATACAAAAGTACTCCTCTAGGTAATTTGATGTTTATTTTTTTGAATAAAAAATCGTATTTTAAAGGTATTTCGAATGTTTCTTTTATTGTATCTTTCACTTTTTCTAAACCTCCTACATGTATATATTTAGGGAAATTCGAAGAACTTTTAATCGAACGATTTTGCATTTATATAATTTTCTCATCTATTTGTTCTGGCGTAATTTCCTCGTTTTAATAAATTTTTTTCTATATTAAATTTGCTAAATCTCCAAAAGTAAAATTTTCACTTAATGAAGCATGTTGTTCTGCTGAAAGATCCATTTTCAAGAATTTATGAAAGAAATCTCTACGGACGGGGTGCATAGGAGGATTTAGTAAAATTTTATTTTCTTCAGGAATAATCTGTAGTAGGTTTTCACTTAGAAAATCATATTTTTCAGAACAAAATAAATAAATTAAATTTGAATAAAATTTTATTTTATCTTTCACATATTTCGATAAACTTTCAGACACTAAAATTTACTAAGTTTACTAAAAGTCAACTCTATTTAGATTTTTGCAAATTACTTCCATATTATCCATTACTAAAATAGCTTTTTATTTGAAACAACATATTTATATTTTAGCTTCAATATATTTTTTCACAATATCTATACTAAAGTTTTCTTAAAATTCAGTGAAATCAATATAGCAAATATAAGTTTTTGGCAAAATATATTTTAAATATTCTCTTATGTAAGTTTTTCCAGATTTTCTGTTTCCATTTATACAAATTATATTTTGTGAAGGTATATCATCTTTTATAATTTTTAGTATTTATTATATCTATTTATCATAAATAAACTCGAAAATTTCCCTTTTACATTACCAAAAAGTATTTTTTTTATCAATTACTTTTATCATTTTTTCCAAATCTTTATCCTAAAAATATTTTTAAACAGACTCAAGTTAAATAAAGCATATCTTATCATTTAATCTTTATTAATTGAAATTATTTTATATTTTTCCTTCAAATAGGATCATTTTTAAATGTTTTTATTGATTAACTAAAGGGTTTTCTTTTATTTTGATAACAAAATGGTTTCCTTATATCTAAATGATTTATTTATAATAGAAAAGATTAATTTTATTATTAATAATATTTTAAATTAATTCATTTTTATTTTATTGTATAGTACTTGAATTTCCTTATTATATTTAAATAAAGCATATAAATATTTTATTATTTGGATTTAAAAATTCATTTATATTAATAATACTATTTTCCTTTATATTTTCTAGTTTATAATCTAAGTTGATTTTTGCGAAACTATTATTTATTATTTTAAAGCATTTTGATAAATACTCATTATAAAATAAGCATTCTTCGTATTCCTTTTCAATTTCTTTTTATTCAAATAGGACATGAATGCTATTATTTTCTTCATTTTTTTTACTATTGGCCGAATTTACATTATGATTATTATTATTTTCTTATTAAATAAAGTTTTGGATTGTTTTAAATTACTTTTCATGTAAAAAATCTTATTCGAACTCTAATTTATATATTTGATTGCATTTAATATTATATTTATTGATTATATGATTAGATATATATACACGAGGTTCGTTTTTATTTTCAAAACAAGTTTTAATACATTAAAAACGAACAAATTTTTATTCTTACTATTAATCGGATTATTTTACTTATTTTAAATCTATATGTAATTCTGCCTCATTTATATCTATGTTTATATATTCATTATTTTATTCGCCATCATTTTGTGTATATTAGAATATAATATAGTCATTTTTAGTATAAAATATAGGAAACTTTAAATTTTTAAAAATGACATTTATATTATTCAACATTTTTTCTTCTATTTCAGACCTTCTTTAGCAAACTATTTCATAATCAGAGCTGTTTTCTACAAATAATTTTAGTTTTTTTGTTCTATTTTATACACTAAGGATTTAAGCTTCTACAATTTCTCCATCTTATAAATTTATGTATTTTGAAAATATATAGGATATTTCAATTATATTTTCTTCTTAACTTATACCTCCAAGATAGCCAAAGTATAAACATTCTTTTGACATTTTTGTTAATTTTACTGGCTAACATAAATTTTAGGATTATTGATATGTTTATTATTGAAATGATCGAGGTAATGTTATATAACAATCGTTTTTTTAAATTAATTTTATTTATAATTTCATTTATAAGCTATTAATAATATTTTTTATTTATATATATATATTATATAAAAGATCTCGTATTATTGTATTTTGAAAACAATATTAAAATAAAGTAAATTATTATTATTTATACTATATAAGAAAATGTAAATTAATAATAATTTTATTTAATAATCTAATAAATTTAAAAATTTATTATTCCAAAATAGAATATTATATACATAATTAAATAATGCTTATATAAAAGGTTTTTTATTTATAAAATATTAATTTAAATAAATTTTTTATAAAAACAAATATTTTTATTTTATTATTTATAAAAATGTTATAAAACATATAAAAAAAAACGCGAGAAAAAAATAAATTATGGCCTTTTTTTTTTTTTTTTCGATTAAATATTTTTAAAAATAATTACAAGGAAAAAATAAATAAAAAAAACCAATATATAAAATAATAACATAATTTAATATTTATTTTAATAGAGAGAATATCTAATTTTAAAGGCTAAAACTAATATAATTAATAATATATACGTTTTTATGAGTTTCTATTTAATATTTATTTTTATTAAGTATATATTTAAAATATTTTTGTCTAAAAATAATATCTAGTATATTTTTTTAATTACTTCATACAATAAGAAGATGATATAACTATAATATATATTTTTTGAATTGAAAAAAATATTAAAACTTATTCAAACATAAAATAATATATTAATTTTTAAATAATTTTATTGTTTATTATATAATAATCAAAGCTTGGGCATTATGGGAAGTAAATCAGGTGTAAATTTAGTTGCAGCACTCATATTTCCTTTAATTTTCATTTTTCCATTCATAAAAGCTTATTAAGGGTTTAATGTTCTATTGGCTAAAGCTATTACATCATCATCTAATAAAATGAAGGTGCAATCAGGGGTTCCTTCAGCTCCTTTTACAACTTTTCCGTTTCCATTTTTTAAATCAATAGTCCAAGTTGTAACCTCACCTCCTTTTGTTTTCATTACTTAAAAATGATAAACTGCTTTTATTTTAGTAACTAAATCCTTACCTTTTTCAGCGAGGAAAGGAGTCATTTATTCGAAAAGTTTTTCAGATTTTAAAGCCATTTTTATATTTTTTTAATTTTTTTAAATTTTAAAATAAATAAATAATTATCAAAAAGAATCGAAAAAATAAAAAAATAAATATATTTATTTATTTATTTTAATATTCCCACGTAATTTAAAAAGGAAAAAAAAAAAATTATTTGTAAAATATTATATAAAATATAGTTTAAACCTTAATAAATTAAAAATATATGTTTATTTTTTTTATAATAATAAATATAAACTTTAAATTAAATGTTAAATATATTATTTATAATCGAAATAAATATTAATTTAAAATAAAATATATTTCTTTATTAAATATATTCTCTTTACTTTGAAAAAAATACTTTTTAATCATTAATTATATACCTTTTTGTAAATTTTAAATTTAAAATTACTAATAAATAAAAAAATGCTATAAAAAAAAAAATATTTAAATTATTATTTTTAAAGCGTATATATATGAAAAAAAAAAAAAAAATTAATATATAAAAATTTTTTAATATTAAATAAAAATATATATTTATATATATATAAATAATATATATATATTTATATATATATATATTATTAAATAAAATTATTATATTACAAATATAAACTTATATACTCATTATAGATATATAATTTTCACATGTTGCATCATTTTATTAAGATTAATTATTAAATTAATATTCACATTCATTATTATTCTTTTAATTTATTTTATATTAATTAATATATTTTAAATTATAATATTTATTGTTTATTTATTTTTATATCATTGTCAAATATATTACTTAAATATTTATATTATTTTTTTCTATTAATAAATTAAAGTAAATTATCTACACATTATATCCTAAATTAATTGCTTAAATATTATAGTTATTTATTATTTATTTTAAACTTAATAATTTAATAACTACTATTATGAGTTTTCATTTATATTTAAATTACCAAGAAAAAATTCAATAATATATATATTCTAATAATATTATATTAATTAAATTTTATATTAACTCTTCTCAATCTTTATATTCATAAATAAACAAAAATTTGGAGTTTAAATATGCAATTTTAAATACAATTTGAGACTCTTAATGTTATTATTTTTTTTTATTTTTTTTATAAATCAAATTAAGTATATATAAAGTTGCTTTTTGTTTATTCTAGAATACTTTTCTTTTATTACCTCTCGCTTAATTTAATAAATAAAGGACATATGTCCTTTTTCTATTTAAATTATAGTACTATATGATGTTGTTTAAAAATAAATCAAAAGTTACTGTATTTAGAGAAATTTAGTTTATTAGATAATTAATTATTATTATAGAGTACAATAAATAAAACTCTTGTAAAAGATGATATAGATATTTATATATTATTTAAATTAAAAATACGTAAATAATAGATATATTTTTATTTATATATACTCCATAAAATAGTATAGGTTTCAATAATAAATAAATTAGCAATTTTCTTTATTTATTTTTTTCCCCTTTAAAATATATTTATTTATGATTATATCTATTAATATAATTTAAAACTAATAATAAAAATATCACTAACTAAATATTATTTTTAAAATTTTAAATAAATGTCAGCTTAAGGGAAAAAAATGTTAGAAGAAATATTATCTAAACCAATAGAACATATGATTTTATCTAAAAAAATGCCAACAAATAAAGAAGCATTAAAATTATATAGAGAAATATTAAAATTTTCAAATCATTTTTACTGGAATAATTATAAAGGAGAAAATTGGTTTTTTTTTTTTTCTTTTATAATACAAAACTTTCGAATTATTTACTTATAATTCTGATAAAAATATTATAAATAGGGGCGAAATCATAAAAAAAAGTGCGAGAAAAGAATTCGAAATAGGAAAATCAGAAAGTGACCCATTAATTGCATTAAAAATGATAATGACTACAAGAGAGTCTTTATAAAAGACTAAAGAAAAAGTAACTATTGAATAATATACATTTAATAATTCTTTTTTTAAAAAATAGATGTCAGAAGCGCATTAAAAATTAAAAGAGACAGTAGAAGAAACAAGAAATTGAAATTATTTTTTAATAATGTAAAAAAGAAAAAAAAAGAAACAAATAATATTTATATTAATTTATTTAATAAGTAGAATATTTAAATTATATATTTTTTTTAATATTTATGCATTTTTAATTTGATTAATATATATTGTTTTAAATTTTACAATACTTATATTCAATTTATAATGTTTATTCTATTTATAAAAAAATATATTCATAATTTAATTGATATAAAGTTAATTTTTGAATTATAATTTATGGAATTAAAAAGAAAAAAATGTTAGTTTTTCCAAAAAAAATATAATTAATAATTGACTAATATTAATTTTAATACTAATAATTTCTTTAAATTATTTAAAGTTGAAAGCTAATGCTTTTATAAGTTTATTTTATTTTTAAATATAATATATTATTGTCCTTTGTAAACTTTAAATATATTTTTAAGCCTAAAAATATTTTAATAAATTGTTTGATTAAATATATAAAAATATTTAATTTTTTTTGTTTTAAATTAAAAAAGTTTTATATTTTTATATTATTTTCAAAATAGAATTAATCATCCTAAATAAGAAATAAATAATTGATAAAATAATTTTTTTTTTTTAGAGAATTGAAGAGTAATAAATATATAACTTAAATTTGCTATTTAATTTCTAATAATAGAATAAATCGAAAAAATAGAAGATAAAAGGAATTATATTAATATTATTATATATTAATTCTTTTTTTTTATATCGGATTTAAAGAAATTTTAATCATTTTTTTTATTTATTCTCGAATTATTTTTATATTATAAATCAGCCAATATAAAATATTAAGAGTTTTTTATTTTTATATAAATAATACTTAGGGGTGTTATTCATTTTTTTTTATTAGCTATATATTTTCTGATTATATTTAAAGTAATCTAATTCTTTTTATTCTTAATTATTTTATTTTTTTTCCTGAAGATATCATTTTATTATTCACTTTTTCTTAATAAGGTACTTCTCATTTTAGTATATTAGATATTTAATTGGTGATTTTGGATAAATCACAGATATAATATAAATTAATTTTTTTAAATATATTGGAATTTAATATAAAGTTTATTTTTGTTAAAATTGAAAAAAATCCCTTACTATATATTATATATGATATCTTTTATTGTTTTTATTTTATTAAATCTAAAATACATAATAAAACAAAAACATTTTAAATAAATTATAATACAAATTAATCCATTAAAGGCAATATAATTTAATAATTAGACAACTTATTTATTATTTATTCATTTTGTTTTTTTTATTTATTTATTTTTAAAAATAATATAAACTAATTATATATTAAAAGATTTGCATTAAAATTGTATAAATTTTATTCAGAATTAATTATTATTATGGAGATGATTATTTTTTCCCTAACAATTATAATTTTTTTTATGGTTATAGAATGGGGTTTTTTTGAAACTAATCATAATACTATTTTTGTATATTTAAAATTGCATTGAAATAAAATTACTTAAAAATAAATATTCCTTATTTTTAAGTTATTAAAAAAAAAGTAACAAATATATACAGTTCACAATTTAATTAAAAAAATATATAGGACAATTTCATTATATATGAATTGTTAAATTACATTTAAATTATACAAAAAGCTCTATAATTATAAAGTTTAATTGAATATAATGAGTAATCTATTGTAGGATCTTATATAATATTTATAAAAATAGTACAAAGTCTGTCTTAACTAATTAAAAGATTAGCAAATTTTACAAAATTAAAAAAAAACACAAAATTAAATCTTTAAAAAACGATAATCTTTTTGAAAAAAAAAAAAAAAAACTAAAAATACCAAATATAAATTTTTTTGAATTCGGTATATATGATTCCACTAATTCAAAACAAAATTAACTTAATTTATGTTAATTAAATGAAATAATTAGTTATTTTAAATTAAAATGTTGGCAACCAAGAGGATTTAGTTATTTTAAATTAATAATAAGAATGACTTTAACACATATAGTAACAGAAACAATTAAATAGTATGAAATTGACAGATATATATCAGTAAAATAAAGACTATTTTCTGAATAACATATGGAATTTTTATTGTAAATTATAGGTGAAAAAGAAATATAAATTAAGGCAATCAATAATTAATTATTGACGATAATTTAAAAACATACATATTCAAATTTAAGTAATCTATATATTAGAATAAATCTATAAATAATTTTTAATATGAGAAATCTTTCGGATATAGTATAACATATCTAAATTTAATTATTATAAAAATAAAAACTTAATTATTCTACTTATCATATTTATGAAGATAAATGAAACATATATTATACAAAAAAAATTGTAAAGAAATCCCCATTTTCACCATAATTTTTTTAAATTATTGGTTAAATTTCTTATATAATACAGTTATATATATATAAATAATAACATAAATATACAGAAAAAAAAAACCATATATGATTTTTTTTTTTTAGAGGCAGACATTATAAAAAAAAATTATTTAAATAATATATTTGCTTGATATATATTTTTTTTTTAAAAAAAAATTGTAAATATTTATGATCTAAAAATAAAAAAAAAAGAACAAATAACAAAAAAAATAATAAAAATAGTTATTATCTGATTTGAAAAATTAATTATAGTTCATAATTTTGAAAAATCAATTGATTTATTTTATAATCATATCTTACTTTTTCTAAATATAGCAACTTAAATTAGTATTAGATAGTCGTCTCATAATTTTATATTTATTTATATAAATTTTAGCGTAAAATGACGAATGTCATAAATTTTATAATTATAAATATAATATTTTATTTAATTATTTTTACTTTTTTTTTATAATTGAATATATTTTTGGAAATATTTATGTAAAATAAATTAAAATTATAAATAAGAAAATGAATTTAGTTTATATTAGTTTAATTACATTTTTATGCTTTCTAGCAGGATTATTATTTTATTATTATTCTAAAAATATTAAAGTTTTAAAAGACGATATATAGTATATTAAAATAGATAAATTAGTAACAAATTTATACTTAAATAAATAGTGTTTTTATTAAATCGTATTTAAAATAAAGTTAATAGGTTTAGGAAATCCGGGAATCCGTTATTAAAATACACTACATAATGTAGGTAAATTTTTTGTTTAATATCTAATTGAGAATTATTAATGCGATCAAGTTAATCTTAAATGTAATTTTTTTTTTATTATTTTATCTAAAAATAATTATTTTTTTAGCTGATTAATTATATATTTTAAATAATAAAAATAAATAAATTACTGGACTTTATTTATCTTCTTCATATATGAACCTAAGTGGTCATAATATTAAGAAGTTGATTAATTATTTAAATGTATATATTATTAATAATGAATTTATTATATGCTAGTTTTTTTTGTTTAAAAAAAGATTTAAAATTTAGAAAATATTTTAATTGTTCATGACGATCTTGATATTTAATTTGGAAAGGTAAAAATTAAAAAAGGAGGGAGTGCAGAGTAAAATAATATATTTTATTGATTTTAATTCCATATATATTAATTTTATATAATAAGAGGGCATAGAGGAATAAAATCAATTATTGAATAATTAGAAACTAATGAATTTAAAAGAATGAAAATAGGAGTTGGTATTTAAATTATGAAAAATTAAGTACTATTTTATTAATCAATAGATAGGCCGAATACTCGAGAAAAAGATATAATTAAAACATATGTTCTAAGTGAATTTAATGAAGGTAAATCAATCAATTTATACTATTTATTAATCCATATATATAAACATAATTTTAAATAATATAAATAAGATTAAAAACAAAAATTAAAAAATGAAATTTTCATATAAGCTATTGAAATTTTAAAACAATTGAATTTTATATAAGATTTTACAAAAGATTAATTATGATTTATTTTAATTAAATAAAAAAATATATAAAAAATTAATATAAATATTTATTTTTTTGTTAAATGAAGTATTATACAAATTTCTAAATAATATTTACAATAAAGGATTAATAAATATATTTTATTGAATAATTTTTTTATGAAATATTTATTTCGAAATCTATTTAATGTTTTTATTTGTATTTTTAAGGCAATCTTGGCATAAACACAAATTGTTGTAAACTTAATCACATTAAAAAAACATAGAAAAAAGATAAAAATTAAAACCAAAAAGAAAAAGCCGAAAACCTAAAGAATGAGTGCAATAGTAATTATTCTTCTATTGATAATTAAAATAATAATTCCTATAATAATATTATTAATTCCAAATAATAAGAAAATAAATAAAATGCTAATATTTTTTAAAAAACTAAAGACATTATTTTTAGGAATTTTTTGCTTTTCTTACTAAAGAGGATTATGATAAAAAAATTTGTTTGTTCAAATTTTTATCAATTTATTTTTAAAATAATAATTAATAGAAGTTTATAGAAAGAGTATTAGCATTTACTAAATTACAAGAAAGATAAAAGTATAAAATAGATGATGGAATGAGTTTTGGAGCAGATTTTACCGTATATAATTAACATTAAAATAATAATAATCATACTCATTCTGAATTTTTATTATAGTTAAATCCTGAACTTTATGAAATTCTAGGATATATAAGGGTATCTAATAATACTAGAAAGGTAAACATATAGAATATAATTTATTTTTAAAAATAAAAAAGAAATTCATTTATACAAAAACTTAAAAAATATAAGAAAACAACTATTTGGAAATATTTATGTAAGAAGAACTGCCAAATTAGGACGAAATATAATTACTATAATTATTTTTTTAATAAATTATTGTTTGTTACGATATAATATTTGTAGAATTAACAAAAGATTGAATTTTATATATTTTATAATATACTAAAATATTAAATATCATTTAAAGAAATATTTTTAGCTTCTATTCATTTATTATATTTTACTATATTAAATATTTTAAGGCAACTTTAAGGCTTCTTATAATTTAAGACTGGGTGTTTTTAATAAATAATCAAAACTATTAATATTTTTTTTTCTTTTTTAGAAATACTACTAAGGAATATAATTAATTTATTACTAACTTTAATGTTTAATAGATTTATTTTTATTATCTATACATAAATTGTAAGAAATCAGTTCAGGAGATCGGATACTTAATTATTATATTTGTTTATCCTCTGGTTTATTTTTAGGCTAAGAATGATAACTAAACTTTTATCTAATATTATGAATTAAAACAGCCTTATCATTTTTACTATTTTAAAAAGAAGAATTAAGTTATTAATTTTATTCATTTTCTACTATATTTTTTCGAATATTTGTATTTCTGGCTGAAACAGTTTTACCTTTATTTTCAAAACTCTAATAAGAAGAAATTTTATATAATGGATTTAATTTTTAGGATTAATCTTATTTAATTATTTTGATAATTTTTTACATTTAAATTTTCTTATTTAAACTGTTTCGGCTCTTTGGTTTTTTCTTATATCCTTCCTCATAAACAATATTAGTGTTTGATTTTTATGTTTAAATCTTAAATAATTTTAAAGGCTCTAATATACTATTATCAACAACATATTTTTTTAATTAATTTGATTATTTAGAAAAATATTTAAAACGGCAATCGATATTTATTTAGTCTAAATATTAGGCTTATTAGCTTTTACTTTCTTCTTCTTAATTAAATAATTTATTTTGTTAAATTTAATCAAAATCTTCCAAAATTATTCTACATGCTTCTGTATCTAATTATTATTTGCTACCATAATTAAGTTAAGGGATATAATTATTTATTTATTATTATATATTCTTTTTTTGATCTTCATTATTTTCTTGAAATAAAACTGATAAACTTTTTGTTTTATTACATATTATATTTTTTATTTCATTTATTTATTAATTTTATATATTTAAAGCTGTTTCTTATAAACATAAATTCTTAATATTATTAACTTTCTTTTACATTTTTTCATGTTATAAATCAAAATAATCCATGTCTTTTCTAGTTGTAAAAGCTATATAATTATTAAAAAATATACTAGCTTCAATCTTTAATACTTTTACTTTTGTTTTACAAACAGCTTATGTTGTTCTTAAAGGTAATACTTACTTATTTTATTATTTAAAAGTTTTTTTATCTCTTTTTTATTAAATTAAATCTCTTAACATTAATATTCCCTCAAAATCTCCAAAAATATTTCCTTGAACAACATTTTATATAAAAAGCCGTTTATTTATGAAATATTTACTTTTTTGTAAAATATTATTGTCTTAATTCATTTAAACTTTGAAAATCTTCAAATTTTATTAAAAATATTATAGGTTTTTTATTTAAAAAAAATAAATAAAAAAAATTACCTTAGATATTTCTACATCTCCATTCATTAAAAAATAAACATATTCGACAACATCATTTTCCTTATAAATAACATTATTTATTTAAAATTCAGCTTCTTCCATATTATTAAAAATAATCATAATTCCTTCATTAGGCCAATTATTAAAAGGAGGAATTTGTCTTAAAAAGCCCCTCTTTTCCTTTTCTATTTTTTCATAGATTTTACTTAATAATTTTCGAAAAATTTCATATGATAAAGTAGCTAACTCACAATAGCTAGTAGTAACAGCAGAAGCTGTTCTAGTAATTCTTTGTTCTAGAGCAACTTCTCCAAATGTATTACCTTTATGGATTGTATTTATATGCTTGTATGAGGGAAATTTTGCTTTTATAAAACTTTCAAATTATTAATCTTAATTATTTTCTTATTTTTTTTGAATATATTATTCACATTCATCTTCATTAATTTAAGGAATAAGTATTGCCACCTCTCCTTTTAAAACAAAATACATTTTTCTACCAATATCATTATATTAGAATATTATTTCATGTTTTTCATATATTTCAAGTTACATTTCAAACATAATCTAAAAATATAAATCTTATGAAAGTTCTTAATTTATTTATTTAAAAAAACGAAATTGATTAAATTAAGAAATTTAAAATTCTGCTGCTTATTTGGTTTTTTTTTATTCTTTTAAATATTTTATTAATTTATCATGATTATTTGTCTCTATTTCTTCTTCACTATCTTCTCCATTTGATTATTCCATTCCCGAATTCAATAGGCCTATTTATATTTAAATTATTTAACTTATTTTTTTGTTTATATAAGGTTTAATTGCTTATTAGTGATGTTCTAGTGTACTTTATTTACTTATTTAATCCAGTATTAGAATACATATTTAGTTTTTATTATAAATTAATATAGTAAAAATATAATTTTGATTTACAAAAAAAAAAAAAAAAAAATTAGTAAAAAATATAAAAACGTAATGTTATATACTAATAATTATTAAAATTATATTTTAATCATAATCCATCTTAATATCTACCTTTTTAAAACCAAAGATGACTCATAGCCTCTTTAGCAGTCGGTCTTCTAGTATAATCTAGTTATAATAATTATCTGAGAAAATCTAAGAATAAATTATCATCAATTTTTAACCTATATTTTTTAAATGAAAAATAAAAAAAAAAGGTTGTTAAAAAATTTTAAATAACCTTGATTTCAAATTGGTTTTTTTAGGAACAAAAATTTATATTTTTCCTGATTTTTATTTTTATTTATTAATTATTTCTGAGCTTTCTCCCATTTTTTGACTTGTATCACCTTCGTCGTTTACCTTTTTTAATTTTAAACTTTTTAATATATACTCGAACAAAAAAAATAAAATACTTCCATGTAAATCAGTTTTTCTCTTGTAAACAAATTATGTACAAGTTTTCCTTCTTTCATCATCCATTCAGGGAAAGGTCCAATAATACCAATAATTCTAGCAAGCATTCCTTAAATATTATCATTTTAAAACAAAACTTAACCATTATAAAGTTCACTAAGAATACATCCAAGACTCCACATATCAATTCTATAATCATATTTACATCCAATAATAACTTCAGGTGCCCTATATGATCTACTTTAAACATAAGAAGATAAATGGTCATGGATAAAGCAGCTTGATCCAAAATCAATAATTTTAACTTCTGCTTTTGAATAAGATTTCATCAATATATTTTCTGGTTTAAGATCACAATGTATAAGGCATAAAGAATGAATATATTCTAACCCAACAAGAATTTAATATGCAATCTTTTATAATCTTCCAATAGTAAAATAAGGTGTGGCTTCGTTTTCTTTATTGAATTTATAAAATTCATAAAGATTATCTTTAAGTAATTCAGTAACAATAAACAAATGTTCTTTATGATAAAAATAATCATAATATTTTAAAACATTCTTTTCATCCACATTTCCATTACAATTTATGAACCTTAAAAGTTTTATTTCATCAATACTTTAGTCAAAATAATCTTTGTTATTTTCTATAATTTTCATACACATAACCTTATTTGTAACTAAATCTAAACATTAAATTGCCTTTGAAAAAGCTGCACTTCCTAAATATTCCATTACTTAATATCTACCAGCTATAATTGAATTTATTACAATTGGAAAATCTTTTGTCTCTTCAAATCCTGTTCTTTCTCTATCAAATATAACTTTTAGATTAAACACATCATAAATAACTTTATCATATTATACTGGATAAAACTCATCTTTGGTTTAAGGGAACTTTATATGCTCAGGTAAATAAATTGATGCCTTTTTCTTTTTTTTATATATTTATTTAAAAAAAAAAATTAAATTAAATGTTTTTTTTTTGGTTTACATTTTTTTTAACATCTAACTATTTTTTCTCTTCATCTTTTATTTAATTTGGTTTTTATAAATCTTTTATTAATATCTAACTATCTTCTTAATTTGAATTAGTTTAGATAGTTCTTGGGTAATCTTAATGGTAATCATGTCCTTCTTCTTTATAATAAATAATTATAAATATATTTTATATATTTATTGAGAAATATATTTTATATATTTATTGAGATACTTTTAGGAATATTAGCACATGCTCTTTTTGGAAAATCATATTTTTCAGCTAATTATTAAGCTACCCTTAAAAACTCCTTTTCAGGGACTTCATAAAGATCAAATCCTGGATCATCATCATCTGTATATTCATCTATAAATTATTTTTGATCTTCTAAATTATCTAAAATTTAATATTAAGAGTAATCAGATGTATCATTATAATTATCAGTTTTTATAATTGATGGCATCTTTCCACTTTCTATCAAATTTATTTATTATAATTATTGTTTTTCATTATTCATTTAATCACTTTAGCTTTTTTATTTTATTTAAGTTTAAAATATTTTTTATATTACTTTATTTATATATTGTTTTTTTAAGGTTTATTCCCTTAATCTTCTTCTGTTTAAAAAAGCTCATCTGTGTATTATTATGATAATTCTTTTTTTAATAAATATTTTTATTTTATTTATTTAAAGTATTTTTACAATTTTAAATTTATATTTTCTATTTTTAATCAGTTTAATTACTTTTTTAGAAATTCAAGTTGTTTTATTAAATGCTTTAGATTATTTATTGATTTTAATTTACAAATTAATTTTAATTTTCTAATTATTGTTATTAAAATAATAATAATAATAATAATAACTATACATCCGAAATCAGGTATTTAGGGTACTTAATGATCTTCTAAATAAGAGTTTATATTTTCTTCAGTTTTTATAAGACTTTGGGCATCTTATTTCTTTTTATATGAAAATATTTTATTTAAAAAGAAAATATTTAATTTTATATAAAAACATTTTTTTATAAGAAAGAATTTGTAAAAGACATATTTGAAATATCTTACATAACATCTGTTGCTTCTACCATTTTTTAGAATGTTTAATTATCAAAAAATTTTTCAATTTTAGCATTTAATTTTTCATCTTCTAAAAGCTTAGAAGAACTAACTAATTTATTCATTAGTTTTTCCATTATTTACTCTGTTTCTTCTTAATTCTTTTTTTTTTTTTTTTTTTTGTTAAAAATAAATTATCATAAAATAATAAATTGCTTTGTATTACAAATAATTTAGTTTGCTTATTTTCAACCTTATTTATAAAATTAGGTCTATTTTCTTTTTTTTAAACTTATGAATTCTTTTATTATTGTTTATTATTTGTATTCTAAATTACATTTTAAATTATTTCTTTTTAATAATTTTTTTGTTTATCTTAATTATATAACAAAAAAAAATAGTACTTAATAAATTATTGTTTGAAGTTTTTTCAGGATTTTCATTATTATTTATGTTTTCTTTTAATTATACATTTATTATAAAAAATAAAAAAATAATTATTTATAAACCCATATCTTCTAATAAAGCTTTTACTGATTTTGTCATTCCTGCTGACCTTAAAAACTAGAGTAGTTGATTACAAGTTTCTTTCATTTTTAATAAAATAATTTTTAAATGATTAATTTTATTTTAGTTTTAGAAAAAAAAAAAAAAAAATTAAAAAAAATAATAAGATTTTTAAAAATAATATTAAATAAATTTAAAAAAAAAAAATATTTAAAAAAATATATTATTATTTAAATTTTATTATTCAAATAGTGGAAAAAAAGGGAAAAAATAAATAAAAAAAAATTATGTATTTACATTAAGTAAAAATTTTATTTTAATATAAAAATATTATAAATTTTATTTTTATTAAGCATTTTATTAATTATAATAATAAAATTTATGTGATTACAAAATTAAAAATATAAAAGAATAATTTAAATAAATATATTTAATACTAAATATTAAATTTTATATATTATGATTATAAGTTAAATAATTAATTACATAATGAATTTATAATTATATATCTTCTAATTAATATCTCATATATTATTTGTTATATTTATTATGCTTTTTAATTATTAATGCGAATATTTATTATAAATTGATGAATATTTTTTGAAAAAAAGGATTTACATAGCTGTTCTTTTTTCCTTTATCTATTTAATTCTTTATTAAATCCATAGTACAATCTCCCTATCTTTATTATTTTCTATGTAATTAATTAAATCTTAGTCATTTAAATAATTAGTAATATGTCCTTTTTATTACATCCATTTTTTGCATTTTTAAAAAAAAGAATTTTTATCATCAACAATCAGTTAAATAAGTTCGTTATTGCAGTCATTAGTTAAGTCAAGAGGATGCACAAACTCATTAGATGCATTTATTATGCTTTCAGCTAGTTTATTAATACCAAATGCTATCGTTTGTGCAGGATACCAATCTTTTTTAATTAACAACCTACTCCACAACATATACTATCTCTTTTTAAAGAAGGATGTATTGGTTATTATGGAAATTTATATTTCGGGCATATATAAGGATAATTACTTGGAATCTATACAACAACTTCTATTATACAATCTTTATATATTTAATTATTTTTATTTTCTTATTCGCCATTATCGTAATTAGATTCTTTTATTATATAATAATACTTTTACTTTTAGTAATCTTTTTAATTTAAATTTATGTATATTAGATTATTAGTTTTATCTTAAAGTTATTATTATATTTCTTTTTGCAATCTATGCTACTAAGAAGTCATTTTATTCTTCTTCTTTTTGTCCTTTAATATATTTTAATATATTACAATTTTAAAAAATTTCTTAATTAATAAAATATATTATTAAATTTACTTTTTTTTTTTTTTTTTTTTACATAGTTAATATAAATTAATATGCAATTTTTGTCTATTTCATTTATTATTCAGATTTAAACCCTTTAGAATGAATTTAAACAAACTATAAAATCAATAAATTAAATATATTTATTATAAAAAAGTAAAAAATAATAAGATATAATATTAAAATAATAAATAT